GTGCTCTTTTTACCCAGGAAATTTCAACATCACGTTGTTTAAAGAAAGATGCATACCAAAAAATAAAAACTTTGCCCCTATTGAAATTTTGTATGCTGAATAGAAATCATTTTCTAGGAATTTTTACTCTGATAGGTACAACAGTTACATAATTTGCACAGCCTAGTGCAAAATGAAAATACAGGGCCTTTAATTAAAAAGTTATTAAGAATTTCAATTAAGCCTTAGCCCCTGATAGCTCAGTTGGTTAGAGTGTTGTCCCAATACACCATGGTTATGGGTTAAATTCCTGGTGATGACATATACAGGAATCAACCAATGAATGCATAAATAAATAGAAAACAATTCTCTTTCTCTCTCTCTCTCTCTCTCTCTCTCTCTCTCTCTCTCTCTCTGTCAAATTGATAAAATTTTTAAATGACAAGAATTTCAATTAAAATTTGAGAGTAGAGCATTAAATCAAATGTGTGGTCCTTCAACATGGGAGGCCCTGTGTGACTAAAGGATTGCATACAATGATGTGGGCCCTATTCACAAGGTCCGGAATCCTGCATCTGTTCTTGACGCTGTGAAGCTATCTTTCTATAGACTTGAATGAAGTCTCGTGATATAAAAAGAACAAAAGTACTGAAGAACTTTTACTAAATCTGTCCCCAAATCACTCTAGTTTCTCCACTGAAGGCATCCTGGGGCACTGGTGCCTTTGTTGAATTAGGGGTGGAGAGGAAAGCAAGGCCACCAAGCCACAGGTCTGATGACTTGTATTCTCAGAAAGGAGAAGCGTAGACCACTTTTTATCATAGCAGTCCAGGGTATGGTGGTAAGCAGGATGTGGGGGAAAGAAAGAGGAAGCCCTGGGGAACTCCCACCAACCCCATAAAGGAGGGAATTTTCCATGTCTCCTAGTTGTAAAATAGCTTCCATACAATGGGAATCAGATAAAGTGAAGGGATGTGCCCTATGTGTAAAAAAATGTGTAGTTTTCTATTAATGCACAAAATTTTCCTACACATGCAAAGCCTTATTTTCTGTTTTGTAACTACAAGATTAAAGCTAACCTTTGTTCAAGTATAATAAAATACACAAAATTAATATAATTAGAATGACTCTAAATCAAAATGTTATTGAGTTACAGAGGGGGAGAAGCATTTGAAGATGTGTAGTTCATGAAAAAGCTCTTTCATAACCAAATCATTTATATCTTTATTACTGGCGCCTGATTTGCATAGGTGCTGCAGCCAAAAACTTCCTGATCAGGTCTAGACATCTAACCTATTACCCACCTAATCCTTATGTTTTACTTCCACTGATCTTAAATAGAACCTGTTCACTCCATTTTTACTGATCCTTTCCTAGACCAAGCTTATATCATTTGTAGAGTTCTTTTGGGGGCTTTTGCCTGTCCCTGCTAACTCAATGCTCAACTTTCATGTCATTCAAATTAAATTAGGAACATGACATAGACCCTATGGTTCACATCAAGTAGATCAAGTGTATACTTGAATATAAACCTAATATAATTCTCAGAAAAGCCAGGTGGGATTCCTGTCTGAAATCGTGGTGATGCACTTCTAAGTGCTATGCAGAATATTCACTCCAGTGTATAAATTACCAGGTGCTGAAGTTATCTTACTTAGACACCACCTCTCTCCCTAATCTCTAGCAACCTGATGTGTTTTTTAATGTCTCTTGATTTTGATCAACCTATCTAATAAAAGAGAAACGTGCAAACTGACCATACCTCTGTTATGCTACCAGCCAATAGGAGTGAGTATGCAAATTAACCCAACCAAGATGGTGAAGCCCATATGGCCAGGTGATGCTGGGGCTGCCAGGGTAAATGAGATACACAAACCCACAAGGATGCTAGCACCCAGCATCCCCAAGCCCTGCCATGGCTGCGTTGGGGCTTCAGGGGCCAGATCCGAGACACAAACCCACAGGCCTGGCATCTAGCAGCTCCAAGGCTCGGGGCTGAGGCCCTGGGACTGCTGGGGTGGGGGGGGGGGTTGGGGGAGGGCAGCAGAGACACAAACCCACAAGAAACCTTGGAAAGGGAGATAAGCTATCATAACTTTATCTCCCTTTCTACAAGATGAGAAAACTGCCCCTGGTTTATTTAGTGATGTGGCCCACACCTTTCTACAAACACAGGGTATGTTATGACCACTCCCAGGAAGGTCTGGTCAGAATACACTCTCCAGGGAATAACACTACTGTGGCAAGTCACCTAAAGGAAACAAGCTTTTGTTGGGTTTATTCTGAAGGTCAGAGAGCATGCCACCCTTACATATGCTGCATTGTTATATTGATGATACTGAGCTGCAGATGCTTGAAAAACAGCAAGTGCATGCAGAGGCTTTCACTGAAGTCTCCTGATCTGCCTAAAATTAGACCCCCCCCCCAAAAAAAAGGAGCTTAAATGGTATAGGTTCCCTTGATGGGAGAAGTGTCATCAGGCAGAGAAGACTGACTCCTGTAGAAGTTGACATCACACCCAAACTTTGTTACAAACTATTTCTCCCACCTCCATTCATCTTCCCTAAAAATCAATTACTCTCTTCTAAGAGGCCTACATCTCCCATCCCCTTTCCCTAGGAAGAAGGTATTAAAAATATGCATTCTAAGCCACCTTGGGGAGTTACTCACTTTTCCCTGGTTTCTCCCACATATACACTAGGTACACATGTTAATGAATTTTGTTTTGCTCTTGGTGATCTGTCTTTCATTACAAGGGGTTTCACTAATAACTCAGAAAGATAGAGGAAAACTATTTTTCCTCCTCCATAATTCTATCTTGGAAAATCAAGTCCCCAGCTGAACAATGAGGTTGGCTCAAATACCAAGAAGTCTTGGCTGATGGGGGGGGGGGGGTAGGTGGGGGTGGAAGCTTCTAGGGAGAAATCAATGATATTGGCATCAAAGTGGGACGGAGGGTACACTCATGGTTGCTGGTGGGAGTTTAAAGTGGTTCAACATTTTTGGAGGATGATTTGGCAAATTCAATAACGTTCAAGCTACATCCAAGAGTCTTCTTATATGAATCACATCTGCTGAGAAAAAGCATAAGCACATAAGCCCTGGTCAGAACCCAGGATGCTACTGTAGGCTCCCTTTCCACCATAGGAAAACCTGGGAACAACCTGCATTTTTAGGACAAGGTGGCATCTATACTAATAAAAGGATAATATGCTAATTAGCCTGAACATCTTCTGGGTATCCTTACAAAATTCCTTCCTGACAAAGCCATGTTGGTGGAGCCAAGGCAGAGGAGGTTAAAGGTGATCAGGCAAGCAGGGGAGAGCAGTTAGGGTGAACAGGTTGTCAGGGGAGAGCAGTTAGGGGGTCAGACTGGCAGGCAGGTGAGTGGTTAGGAGCCAGAGGTCCTGAGGGGTCCCAGATTGAAGAAAGTGCAGGCTCTGCTGAGAGGACCCCCTTACATGCACAGATTTTGTGCACTGGGCCTCTAGTAGGAAATAAAATGGGAAATACACTAGTATCCCTTTTGGTAATACACTGACAGAACATATATTCAGATTTGCTTCCATAGTTTTTGCTTTATAGTTCCATCAAAATTATTGATAACGGATATTTTGTTATTATATGCCTAATATATTAATAGAATTCACCAAAAATTATCAATTAAAAACAAAAACAAAAAAACGAAGCTCTCCAGGTCCATTTACATTGTCACAAAGGATAAGATATACATATATCTATCTATCTATCTATCTATCTATCTATCTATCTATATTCTTTTTTATGGTTAAGTAATATTCCATTGTGTAAATATAACACAGCTTTTTAAAAAATATATTTTTTATTGATTTCATAGAAATAGGGTGAGAGAGAGAGAGATAGAAACATCAATGATGAGAGAAAATCATTAGTCGGCTGCCTCCTGCATACCCCACATGGGGGATTGAGCCTGCAATCCAGGCACATGCCCTGACAAGGAATAAAACCATGACCTCCTGAACCACACTGGCCAGGCTACCATTGTTTTTTTATCCACTTATTTACTGATAGACACTTGGAATCCTTCCAAATGTTGGTTATAGTAAATAATGTTGCAATTGTGCTTAGTGAGATAAGCCAGTCAGAGAAAGACAAGTACCATATGATTTCACTCATGCGGAATCTAAAGAACACAATGAACTAACAAGCAAAATGGAGGCAGACTCATACATAGAGAGCAAGCTGACAGCTGAGGGTGGGATGGGGGAATAGGGAGGGACTGAAAAAAATATAAAGCAAAGCAGAAAAAAAAACTTATGGACTTGGACAACAGTGTGGTGATTGCTGAGGATGAGCAGAGTGGAGTAGGGTATAGGAGTAATGGACAGAGAATTGGCTTGGGGTGATGAACACACAATACATTGTATAGATAATATGTTGTAGAATTGTGCACCTGAAACCTGTATAATTTTGTTAACCAGTGTCACCCCAATAAATTCAATAAAAATAAAAAATAAAAACATCAACATAAAAAAAATAAAACAGGTGAGATTGTGGTGATAGTTGTACAACACTATGCATTTACTACAAACCATGAATTATATACTTATAATGGGTGAATTTTATGGTTCTGTATGTTATATCTCAATACAGTCTTTTAAAAACTGATTTTAAAAAAGCAATGTGTATACCCAACATAAACAATCCTATCTTTTAAATATGTAAATAAACATAAAAATAACACATGCTTTTCTGTTGTTTTGATAGAGAATACAAATATTTCAACGGCAGTCTTTTCAAGAGCTATTTGCGAAATGAGCAATTTGTTTTGTGTCTGGACTTTACAGGAAGTTCCCTTACTTGAACTTGGCTTGGAGGTTTGACTGAGTAAATTATTCCTTGACTTTTGAATTATTCATCTTGGCTGCATGATACGCAAATCACACTGCACTCACTATGTCTAGAGGCACAGCACTGGGTCAGAAGCTGCATCAAGTTGCTGGCAAAGGATTTCTGTCAAGGGATCAGCGCTTTCCAACAGAATGGTAAGTTGCAATGTACCTCATGTTGCCCAGGCATTTAAAGTACATAAATGCTGTTTGTTAGGGGTTTCTTTAAAAAGTGGCTTGTGTTCAATTAAGGTTTAAATCAAAGTTTAAATGAACTGTCTGAACTGTTTTCATATGTGCATGTAGGGCAGCAAAAGAAACTGAAAGGGAGTCATATATTTTTCCTTTACATTTATTTTTTTTTAACAAATTCAATGCCTTGTTTAAATGGCCAAATACAAAATTTATTTTCTCCTAAGAGGTTAATTATACTTGCTTATGTCTTGGTAACTTATATTTCATTTTAAAAAAAGAAATAAGAATTATTTAAATAAATATAACTACTTGAAAAAAAATGTAAAGTTTTTAAATCATATGAAGCAAATATCATATATTATATATAGAAAACAATGTGTTAGAGGAAATATTAAAATTTAAATTTACCAATTGTGTTTGTAAAAATGGCATTATTCAAGAATATAACTCATTAGGGCAAAAGGAAAAATTGCAGAAATCATGCTATTATGTATTCCAAAATGTTTTATAATTGGTGAGTTATTTTTAAGAAATTAAAAAAAAAAACACATTTGACACCATATTTTAACATTTTAAGCCTTTGACTTCTGGTGTAGTTTCTACAATATATAATATACCTCAAGTCATCAACATTAAATTAGTATATTGATTTTCAGTGTAAATATGTTCTTTATTCAAATGGATTATTAATGAAAAAGCAATTTCATAAAAATATACTCATATATTACTGTGTAAATGTGGCTTAATAAAATAGTGAAGAATTAATATTTCATAAATGGTCTTAATATGTGAATATTCCTTATAGTTTAATAATTCTAACAGGTATACATATAATTTTGAATAAATAATTTAAAAGATTCTACTTTAATTGCCAATATCTAAAAACCTGCTCAAAATAATTTGTCCAAATCATTTATAACAATGTTTATTTTGTAAAAATTGAAAATCAACCACTAGAAAGTGGAAGAAAGAATATTATTTTTTCATGAGGAAATTTCCCTTCAATTGGGAATTTTCCTTAAAGGGCCAGCTTATTTTGTGAACTTGTAGAATTGTGATGGCCACACTAAGAACACACTTAACTATAAACATCATCAAACTTGAAATCTATCACCCTGAAAATTGTGGATCCTGGTGAGGTTAAGTTGGTTTGAAAATATTAGACAGACTTACATTTATAAAACCATAATTTATTAGTATTATGAATTTAGGAATAATATGTTTAAATAAAATGAATCTATCAAAACCAGATTGAAAAACATCATACTTCTATAAAAATAGATTCAAATAAATAATAAACTGTACTGATATCCAAAAATTAGAAGTCATTGATTTACAGAAATTATGACTTCTTTTTGCCTCTCTGCATTTTCTGAGTGTTACATAATAAAATGTTTTTGTTGTGTGTTTTTCTAAAGAATAAAGAAAAGACTCTGAGAAGCAGGTCAAAGTTGTCTAGCCATTCATTTTTCTTATTTCAGCCCCGATATTTTCTATTCCTGTTTTCTCCCTAATTTCCAATCCCAATGGACAACTCAAAAACACAAGAATCTGTGGCTTCAACTTGGCTGAGTGTTGGCTATTGGAAAATCGGCCTTCTAGTTATAGCTGTCTTTTTCTTTCTTGGAAGCCAAACTTTTGTGCTGCACGTACACTACTGACATAAGTCAGTTCAGTATGTTTAAGAACTGACTAGGCAGAAAAATAAGACTTGTATCCAGAAAAAGAGGAAACTGAAAAAAATGAAACAAATACTTTTTTTGTATTAAAAACTTTCTATTGTCTTAATATTCATTTGAGTATGTACACCATTTTTTTAAGTACTCCCAAAATAACCAAGTTGTCCAAAACTGAGCTTTGAAGAGCTACATTTAAAGGTCGGGCTAGCAAGGATTAGACCACAGAGAAGTCTATAAAGAGAGAAAGGACAACAGGAGATTGCCAGTCAGAGAAGGCAAGGAAGAGAGCGTCCAGAAGTTGTGGAACTGAAAGCAGTTAGGAAGAGAGTTAGAAGTAAGAGTGAAAACTTACCATTGGTGTAAAAAATAAAGTCTATTGTTTAAAAAACACCTTTTTAAAAATTTAACCTTTTTCTTGTATTCCTAAGAATTTTTAATATTATTTAAATACAAGCTGATAAAGAAAACAAACAAACAAACACCTAGATAAATCAAAAGGGGAATGCACTCTATAAAAATCATCTGGCATCATCACTACTGATAAAACCATTAATACTTTGGTACATGTCCTTGACTTTCTAATGTTTTTTAATTCCAGATGTGAACTCCTAAGTCTTTAATTATCCTTCATTTTTTAAAGCGATCCTAGAAAATATGTATTCAATTTTTTTTCCTTTCAATGTGTATCTAAATCACACCTACCACTATTACAATTGCCATTTTTGAATATTAGTCATATTTTTTGCAGTGTCAGCTTTCATAGTACAATAGAGCAATGGGCTTAATTAGGTGGACTTAATTACAGATTTGAGTCAAGTGTTTATATTATAATCTCTCCACTCTGCAAGCATTTTTGGGTCATCTACTCCCTGGTAGTCACTGTACTAGGTCTAGGAGATCCACTATGAGTAACATAAAGTTGAGGGAAGTGTTAAAAGGTGCTCTCGGTATAAAATGAGAGCATAAAATGTGAGGATTAAATTTAGATCGCTGGGTCAGAGGGGCTATGTTGGGAAACCCACAGTTAAACTGATATCTGAGAGAAGTGTGGTTGTAAAATATGTTATGGGGCAAGAACCACAGTGGGGAAGGTCAGTGAAAAGAAATTCAAGGTACTCAATGTGAGGAATCTTTTCTGTGCCCTCAAAGAACAGGAAGGAAGATGAGCAGAGAAGTGAGTTGTGCTAGGTGAGACTGAAGTGGAGTACAGGAGACAGTTCATGCTGTGAGGTCCCCATGAAAGGTTTTGGAGTTTATCCCTTTAGTGGAAAGTCATTCAAGCATTTTGGTTGAGGAGAGTAATTTGATCAGAATTTCGGTTATAGTTATTAAATATCATTTAGCTGTCATATTGAAGATGGATTGAAAGGGGGACAGATGTGAGGAGACTATAGGAGGATATGGTACAGTCCAAGATAGAGATGACAGTAGCCAGGATGAGGCTGGTGATTCAGGCGTGAAGCAGTAGAAATGCACTTAAGAAATATCCTTACATTATAGACTACGAGACCTGGTAGTTTGTTTGTAATTGAAGGTAAGCTATAGGTGACTTCAAGGATGTTTTATGTTTTTAAGGTAAAATGGCTTGGGGAAATGGTGAGGTCATTGATGGAGTTGGTAGAGGTATAACAGTATCAGGAAGGAAGTTAAAGAGTTTAGTACAGGCCAAAACCGGTTTTGCTCAGTGGTTAGAGCATTAGCCTGCACACTGAAAGGTCCCAGGTTTGATTCCCATCAAAAGCATGTACCTTGGCTGCGGGCACACCCCTAATAAGGGGTGTGCAAGAGGCAGCTGATCGATGATTCCCTCTCATCGATGTTTCTTATTCTCTATCCCTCTCTCTTCCTCTCTGTAAAAATCAATAAAATATATATATTAAAAAAAATTTTTATAAAAGAGTGTAGTACAGGATTTCTGGAGGCAGAGAAGCCTGTAGGTGATGTATCAGTGGCAATACGTATAAATAAATAACACTTATAAGACAGGCCCAGGCTTTGATATACATTTGAGAGTTGATATGTGGATGATCATTAACGCTAGAAAGTGGATGAGTTCATTCATGCAGGGTCTAGATAAAGAAATTCAGTACTGAGCCTTGAGGAACTTAACATTTAACACTTAGGTCAAGAAGGCTCAAAAAGAGCCTGCAAAGAACAAGGCAGAAAGAAGGGAAAATAGGAAATTGTCATTTCATAGACGGTAAAGAGAGTGTTTCCAGAAGTCATGGTATAAAAAATAGCTCGAGAAGTCAAGAAAGAAGACTAGTAGTGAAAAATGACCATCAGGTTAGGTGGTGGCTCAGAAGCCAATTGGAGTAAAGGGAATAAAATGTCAGGCTAGCAAAGCAATTAGTGAAGACAGCCCTTTGTTGTACTTCAAGCTCATGAGAGAAACCTTTGAAACCAGAGAGAGTTATTAACGTCTGCCCTTTATTTTTAAGGTAAGAGAGAGTGTTTATATGCCGATGGAAAAGATGTAGCTGAGCAAGAGAAGGCTGAAGAGACCGGAAAGAGAGAGTTTGGATAACAGTTAGCAATCCTGAGAATTTGGGAATGAGTTGGATCTAAAGTAAGCCCAGAGGAATAGATATTCTCTGTTGTTCCTGGAAGGAAGGAGAAGACAGGTACAGAGGCCTGAACCAGAGAGAGGACATCCATGAATGGGCTGTCCCTCAGGGAACTCGAAGACAAAAACATCTGCTAATGAGGAGTAGAGAGAATAGATAAAAGTGGTTTGAAAAAATGGGAAAGATATGAAATGGAGAACTGTAATAAATTCCTGGACATGTGAGAAAGTAGTAGAGCAGCAGAATCGCATGTACTCCAAGATGGAGATAAGCCAACTGCTCAGTTCCTCAGCAGCGTTCAAGCGCCTGCTGCCCAAGGAAGTTCCTATCCAGCTTTGTCTAGAGTTGGACTCAGTGGCATGTTGCCCTGGAAAGACTTGAGGAGAAGATCAGAAGAACTTACAATGTTTTAAAGAGTGATTAAAATAACATCAACATATTAAATTTGTCATATTGACAAGTCCAATGAATTGTTTTCATAAATGAAACACTCTCAAAACACCAGCAATCTTTCACTGAAGAAGGCCACTTAAATTTGGCAAAATATATGAATTTTCCAGCTACTTTTGAAATGGTGAATTCTGCTTAATGTTTTTCATGTTTCCCATAAAAAGCATTTCAAGTCATTTGATCTTAATTTGCTCTATTTACCATAATTCTCATATTGAAAGAATTGTTTGGTTGCGACACTAGCACACTGAGCTCTATAAGACAGATATTTTTGGAAAATTTTATTTTCAATCTTTCTTTTTTTTCCTAACTAGAAATAAGTAGGATTCAATATTCAATAATGGCAAGCCAGTACATTCTTAAGAAACTAGAGCTCTTTAAGTACCCTACTCAGCCAGACACAATCTGTTCTCATTACAAGAGAAGACATGGCAGGTGTGCGAGATATATGTGGGTTGAATGAATCAGGTTGCTTATTATCATGACCCCTATTTAGAAGATGTTACGATGGAGGTATTTTGTTAGATTTAAGACCTGAGGAAGATACTTAATTTTCCAAGGCTCAGTGACTTCATGTGTAAAATGAAAATAATAGCATTCCCCGCCTCTTTATTAAATGAGATAATAATTGGAAAGTGGTGAGTACAGTGCCTGGTACACTATAAGCTTTCACTAAATAGTGGCTGCTGTTATTATTATTTCTACTATTTTCAACTTTATATGTTAGACTGTAAAGAATCATGTTTTAAAACTGGATTTTCAGTTCATGAATTTGATTAAAAATAACCATAATACTTTAACAATATAGAAGCAAAGTAAGAGCTATTGAAAGGTCAAGACTGGAGTTATAACAATCCTTGTTTCCTCTTCTAGATTATGATTCAATCTAGTTTAACTCAGCAGAATCTGCCAGACAACTACAGTGCGCTGGGGACCACGGTAGGTCCAGAAACGTTCCTCTTCACTCACTTCACTGCACTTTTCATTGGTCTCTTTGCAGTTTTCAAATCCTCTATGTGTGTTTCCACCTCACAGCCCTTGCACATGCCTTTCCTAAAGTCTGGAATACTCTTTATCATACACAAGGCAGGGCAATAGTAGGTTTATATGTGCGTATGTGAAACACAGAGTTTATTCTTAGATTATTATTTATTAACTAGAGGCCCAGCACACGAAATTCATGTGTGGGTACAGTTCTTAGGCCTGGCCTATGATCAGAGCCATCTTCCCAGACTGCCTGCAGCCAGCCCCGCCCCCTGCCGCCACCCACCCCCAGCTCCCTGTTCGCTGATGGGTAACTGGAACCTTCTGGTAGAACCGAGAGGTCAGCCGTTCAATCCACTCACTGGCCCCATCCCCTCCGTGTATTGCCCTCTGTTTTGGGGGTGACTGGTGGGGTAGGGGCCTTAGCCTGGTGCAACCTGTGTCCCCCACCACTGATCCCCAATTCCCCATTCACCATCGGGCAATCAGAGCCTGCCAGTCAGGGAAAGGGAACAAGAGGTCGTCAGTGCGCCTCATAGTGATTTGTCGAGCAGTCATTCTGGTCATTCCGTCATCAGGGTCAATTTGCACATTACCCTTTCATTATGTAGGATTATTGTATTATTTTCCATAGGAACAACTATAACCCCCCACCACCACCTTTTATGGCATGCAGTTATTTTTTTTTTCCAATGTCTGATTCTTCTCAAGGTATTATAAATTGTTTGAAATTAGAAATTTGTATTCATTGTTGTCATTCCCACTGGCCAGCACATAGTTCAAAGGTATTAATAAATATTTTTTGAAACATTAGTGACACAGACATGCATAAGAATGTGTCCTCCTAGTACTAATGTAAACCACTCTCCAGATAGTCAACTTTTTTGAACGACATTTTAGAGTTATTATTACGTTAAGTGCAGTCATGTCCTTTGCCATCCTCTCATGTTTCATCCTTCTATTTCCTCTCTCTTCTTCAGGCATGGAACGCCTCTTGCAAACACTGGCTGGCCGCAGAGGCTGCCCTAGGGAAATACTACCTTTCGGTTTTTTACGCGATTGAGTTCATCGTGGGAGTCCTCGGGAACAGCCTGGTGGTCTTCGGCTACCTCTTCTGCCTGAAGAACTGGAACAGCAGCAACGTCTATCTCTTCAACCTCTCCATCTCCGACTTCGCCTTCCTGTGCACGCTGCCCCTGCTGATAAAGAGCTATGCCCTCGAGACGTGGACCTACGGGGACGTGCTCTGCATCAGCAACCGCTACATGCTCCACGCCAACCTGTACACCAGCATCCTCTTCCTCACCTTCATCAGCATCGACCGCTACCTGCTCATGAACTACCCTTTCCGGGAGCACCTCCTGCAAAGGAAAGAGTTTGCCGTCTTGATCTCTCTAGCCATCTGGGTCCTGGTGACCTTAGAGCTCCTGCCCATGCTTCTCTTTATAAACCAGCCTCCAGGGGACAACAGCACCAGATGCAGGGATTATGCCAGCTCGGGGGAAGCCAAGAACAGCCTCATCTACAGCCTGTGCCTCACCTTCTCGGGGTTCCTCGTCCCCCTGTTCGTGATGTGCTTCTTCTACTTCAAGATTGCTGTCTTCCTGAAGCAGAGAGTCCGGCCGCAGGCCCCTGCTCCGCCCTTTGAGAAGCCCCTGCACCTGGTCATCCTGGCCGTGGTGATTTTCTCGGTGCTGTTCACCCCCTACCACGTCCTGCGGAACCTGCGGATCGCCTCCCGGCTGTGGAACTGGACGCAGCCCCCCTGCACCAAGGCCATCATCCACTCCCTGTACATCGTGACCAGGCCCCTGGCCTTCCTCAACAGCGTCATCAACCCCCTCTTCTACTTCCTCGTGGGGGATCACTTCAGGGAGATGCTGACGAGCAAGCTGAGGCAGCACTGCAAGTCCCTGGCCTGCTTCAGGAGATGTGCCAGCAGACTGGTGTTTTCCTTCAGGAAAGGGTGAGGTGGCCCTGGGTCAGGACGTTGTATGTTAGGAGCACCAGCGGGAAGGCCAGGGAGAGGTGGATGGACATAAACCCGAGCGGGTCACAGATCCGCCCCTGACTCAAAGACGTGGTGTGCCCAGAAGCACATAAAAACGGGGAGAGGATGAGAAGCATTTATTTGCTCACTTAAAAAAATTTTTTTGAAAGAAGTCGGACAAGCAGGAAGAGTTAGTCATATAAAATTCAAAATCCTAAGGAGATAGAATACCTCAATCGGTGTAAGAAGAAGAGAAGCTAGACCAAGTAGCAAGCTTGAATTGAATCATTGGTGGGACTGTAAAAAAAAAAAAAAGAAATTCTTTTGGCAACATTCTCTATTGTTTGTTCTTATTCACACTGTCCTATAACTTTATGTGAAGATTGAGTAGCGGATTTTACATATGGTTTCAAGTATTATTCCTAGAAGTTGTACTCTTAAAAAAAAAAAAAAAAAAAAATATATATATATATATATATATATATATATATATATTATTGATATTTCACAGAGAGGAATAGAGAGGGCTAGAGAGTTAGAAACATCAATGAGCGAGAAACATTGATCAGCTGCTTCCTGCACACCCTCCACTGGGAATGTGCCCGCAACCAAGGTATATACCCTTGACCTAAATCAAACCTGGAACCCTTCAGTCTGCAGGCCAACTCTCTATCCACTGAGCCAAACCGGTTTCGGCTAGAAATTGTATTCTTAAGCAAATTTAAAGTAAAGAGTAACAATAATGAGCAGCAAAGCAATAAAACTAGTTCTAGGATGTTTATATATCCCTTTATATTGATCATGAATTGCCTCAACTCTCCTTTTTGTTGTCTGGTTTATGATGTAAATAATTATATTGAATAGAGATATTTCAGCAAAGGGAAAGGAATGTTTGAGCGTGATTGTTAAGGAACTTAGAGGTAAATGATTTTACCAAAATACTAGAAAGAGATACCAAAGACAATTGCTCTATAACTCAGAGTTATAGAGCACAAAGTGCCTATCAGGAAACCCAAAGCAAGAAAAACATCACAAAAGTGAGTAGACTGTGTGATTATTGTGTCATCTGGCATTTAATTTTCAGACTTTGAATGTCACTGCATGGCACTATATTAAAGTTTATTAGTTTTGCTGCTCTTGATTAAATTATAAAAACCAGCAAATAAGAGGAATTGAAATGTTAATACCAGAATTTGTTGGCTTAATTTTCTATTCTGGGTGAAAAATCATAGTTTTTCTCCTCCTCACCCCCACTCCCCCCAAAATACATCCTATCTAATAAAGAACAAATATGCTAATTGACTGTCACACCCTCACAAAGATGTCAGCACCCACAGCCACAAGATGGTGGTGCCCAGTCCCCTCAGCCCTGTGGAGGCAGCAGGTATATGGCATGGCCAGGCTTGCCTCCAGGTGGTTCAGCTGTTCCATGCACCTACTTTCAGATCCTCCCAAACCCCTCAGCCCTCCAATCACCCAGGGTTGGCCCGAGGTCCAGACAAGCCACATATAGCAGCTGCTGAGCCACTCAGGTAACCAGGGCAGGCCAAAGCTTACACTGTGGGCAGTGGCAATAGTAAAAGTGTGATGGTGGCATCGCCTTCCCCTGATCGCCCAGTTGTCACTCACCCCTGAGGGCTCCCAGACTGTGAAAGGGGGCAGGTAGGGCTGAGGGACCCCACCAATCCAGTCCATGAATTTCCATGAACCAGGCCTCTAGTTATTTCATAAACACTGGGATAATTTACAAAGAAAATTTGACCTTAAATAAGTTGACTCACATCTTGTTTGAGCCTTTTTTTTTTTTTTTTTTTTTGCATAGGACATTACTTAAAGCCATTGGAGGAAATGTTTTAAACAAAATACCTTTCGTGAAATTATAGAGTAAGGGGAATATTTATATATATAGCAACATAGATGATCTCAGGGTAGTGAGGTACTATTCCATGCCACAAAACAAATTCAGGGGGAATACGATGCTTTTTAAAGTTAAACAAGTATCGTGTAATAATTCACTTAATATATACAACAAGATGTGTCTATGGCCACAAGTCTCCTCTCCTTTCCTTGATGTCAATAGCTATAAAGGGTGAGTAACATGAAAGATAAAATAAATTTTATGCAGAGACATAAAATTCAATTTTCCTTTCTGTTCCAAGGTACTCTGGTCATATTGTATTCTGATATTAAAAAAGGACAAAATAATCCCAGTTAATTCCTTTACTTCAAACAACTGAAATATTATAAAAGCACATTGATCCACAGGATTTTTTTTTTTCTAACCTAGTATTAGACTTTAAGATTTTTATGCCTTGCCTTTGTTATTCAGAGTTTAAATTTTTCAATGTAATCTTATAACTGCCTGATAATAACATGCAAACAAAATTTTCTGAATTTCTTCATCAGAAAAAGCCAAAAATGGGCCTTAGGAAAGCATTTGCTTATTTCTGCAACCGTTACAAAATATTTATACCCAGCCAGGGTAGCTCAGTGGTTGATTGTCAACCTATGAACATAGGTCATAGTTCAATTCCTGATCAGGGCATATGCCCATGTTGTGGGCTTGATCCCCAGTGGGGTTGTGGAGTAGGCAGCTAATCAAAGATTATCTCTTGTCATTGATGTTTCTATAACTCTTTCCCTCTCCCTTACTCTCTTATATTTTAAAAGGTATAATGTATTCATAACTTGTATTTTGTGCATGGGTTTAAATTTATAAATATGAAATTAAATGTGCCCCATCCCTACCCCAAGAAGTGGCAGGATTGGACTCTTTCTAATAGTTCAGTGAAATATTTTGTAAAACCATAAACTCTTACAAATATCTTGTAACCAAAATGTTAAGTAATTTCACAAAAAATGTCTTCATTTTATTCTTGCAAAAAACTGTCATGTGGTAAGTTAAGTCTTTGAAGACGAAACAGAATTTCACTGAAATTATAAGAGGTATTCCTTATAGTTTTTAGACTACGTGATTGTAAGAAGTACAGACAATAAATTCTTTTAAGTTTTGTGGTTTGCAAAGGAAATAATGTTGGGTTTTTGCATCTTTTCTTTTAATTGATGCCTTAGTGTCTTCAGAATCACGTCTAAACTCTTTGGCCCAGTATTTTGCCATCTTTATACATCATCTCTTGCCATTGTTGTCACAAACTATGTCCTCCAGCCAAAGATTGCTACTTTATTTATTATGTTCAGAACTTCCTACACAGTGTGCACTTGGGTACTCATCCTTATCCCATCATGCCCACATATAAACTTATTTTAAGGTTTATCACATCTGCTTCTCCTTTATAAACCATTCTTTTATATCTTCTCCTCCCAAAATCTGAAAGAAAAATCTGTCTACCTCGAGGACTTCAGACTAATTTTAAGTAATGCTTTTATAAAACACATTATTTTTCACTTTTTATTATAGTTGTTTAATTTCAAGTCTATTCTAAGGCCTATGAAGTTTTAATGGTTGTTTATTATGAATGAGCGTCCTATAAGACAACTTTGAATTCAATGTGCCTTTTGAGTGTGCATGATTACACTATTTTCAGTCATCCGCACTTTCATAAGAATTGCTAAAAAATTCTTATATAAAAAATAAAGCATATGGCCGAAGCCAGTTAAGCTCAGTGGTAGAGCGTCGGTCTGCGGACTGAAAAGTCCTGGGTTCAATTCCAGTCAGGGGCATGGACGTTGGTTGCAGGCACATCCCCGGTAGGGGGTGTGCAGGAGGCAGCTGATTGATGTTTCTCATCGACGGTTTCTAGCTCTCTATCTCTCTCCCTTCCTCTCTGTAAAAAATCAATAAAATATATTATAAATAAATAAATAAATAAAGTATATGTACACAAATATATGTGCCAACTGCCATTGCTCAGTTCCTTATAATTTCCTCTACACCTTTGAGCAATTTAAATGAATGTTTATATTCTTTGGATGCTAGTTCCAAATCTATGTCATTTCAAAGTTGGTCTTCATTGATTGCCTTTTCTCTTAAGTATAGGTTATAATTCCTGTTTGTTCATGTCTAATAAATTTGGATTATGTTCTGAAAATAATAAACAATACGTTTTGGAGACTCTGTATTTTGTTTATGTTCCACTGAATAATACTAATATTTTGTTTCATGGATGAATTCAAACTCCAAATTCTGCAATATCGATAGTTCAGTTTTTTAACTTTGTGTTGCTTAGAAGCTACCCAGATAGCCATCGCTCAGAGTCCGCTAAAGACTTAAGCAGGGTTTATTCACAAGATACAGGGTTCCCTTTATGCAACTCTTCTTTTGTCCAGCTACTGAGTTCACCCTTAACTTCTTTTTTGTTTTCTCTTGCTAGATAGATTGCAAATGTCTTTCTGGATTTCAGCACCCCTGCTAAGATGGTAACTTTTAGCCCAGCATTAATCTCTCACTTCTTCCTACCACCTCTCCTCTGTCAAGTGTCATATCTTCAGTCAGAGCATTTCATAGTGAGCAATAGAACTCCCGATCTCCTGGTCAAACTCCAATGAGAACACATTGCATATTAGAATTTATATACTATCTAATAAAAGAGTAATAAGCAAATTGACTGTACCTCTGCTATACCCACCGCCCACACCCACCAGCCAATCAGGAGTGAGTATGCAAATTAACCCAACCAAATCGGCTGCATCCACACAGAGAGAGCAGGAGGGGGGCTTGGGTTTCAACTGAGATGGAGGAAGTCAAGTTTTCCACACACCCTGGCCTGGCTTGGCCTCTGTTTAAGGCTACAAAATTTCAATTACAGAAGATAAATAAATCCCAACAGAAATGGCTGCCACCAATGAGGGAGCAGAAGGCTTGTCTCTGCTCCAGGTTACAAAGTTTCAATTGTATAAGGTAAATAAATTCCAGATACCAGGGCCTCCACTTGGGTTGCCAGGGGCATGGCCAGCCTGCAAACCACCACAGGCCCCTCACACAGGCCACCCCATGCCCCAAAGGAACCCTCACCCTGATCT